AGCATTATTCAAGATTTAACATCAATAAATATAGAAATCCTTCCACTCCTCTCCAAAGAAACCTGCAAGATCTCCAGTACCACCAGGTGAACATGTAATTACTCCAGCCAAGTCCCAGGAGAGCCCTAGGAAACCTCATATCCATCAGGAACTTCATGGACATGGACACGTCCCTGAAGAGCAAGAACATGCACACACTGCCTTGGGGATTTTCTTTAGAACAGTCCAGTCCAAAGAGCTAAAGAGATCCTTCTTAGCTGATCTTCCTCAACCTCAAAAGAGAATCCTAAACCAGATAAGGGACAGAGAGTGTGATTTTTCAAATCTTTCCATGTGACAGTAAGTTGGAGCTGTGATGTACACAGGTATCCAGGCTTGCTGCTTCTTGTGGTACACTTTGTAACCTTCTCCTTGCCATTCTCTGTTTGGATTCATGGAGTTATTAACCTTCCTCTAATTGTCTTTAAAGATTCTGCTCTTAACCTCTAAATAGTTATATTGAAAAAACCCACAACAGAGCATTTAACTTGAAAAGCAAACGTGACATTTCTCTTGGACCAAGCAAGGATCAGATTAACAGTTAAAAGATCTTGAAAGACTTCGGTTCAAAGTGGAGTGAGAAAGAAGGAAAATGATTTATGATGAACAGAACAATCATAAGCCTGAGATTCTACACAAGATACAAGGACATAATCTCATGATTGTCATCCCCTCTCTTAATCTTAGTATTCAAGAATGAAAAGATATGGATCTGAAGGGTGTCTAATCCATGCCACACAGCAAGGGTTTGCCTATCCCTGCCTGATAGTACCAACCACAGACAGTGTGAACTGAACTATCTGCTGAGACACGCAGGTCACAGCTTCTCCTCAAAGTTCCAGCTGTGAAAAAACCCAAACACCAACCAAAAACAAACCAACCAACCAAAACAACCGACCCATCTTCACTTTACAAGCAGCCAGTGACCAGGTCAGGGTGTGCAAGGCCAGACATGATGACCCACTGCCATCCTGCTGCTGCCAACGCTGGCAGCAGCACAGAAGTTCCTTTAAGTGCTGTATGAAGATCATCTCCAGAGCCTGGATATGAGAGCAGCTGCCTTGAACTACAAACTCCTTTTAGAGGCTTTTTTGCTCTGACCATCTCTAAATGGTAACAGAGGCTGTGCCCAAAAGGCTCCGTTTCAGGGCCAGAGCTCTACAACTCTTTCAGAAAGGGCTTGGATGTGGGACTGGAAGGCAGATTGAGTGAGTTTGGTGACGACACTAAGTTGGGAGGAGCTGTTGAATCCCTCGAAGGCAGAGATGTTGTTCAGAGAGATGTTGACAAACCTGAGGGCTGGGTAATCCCCAGCCATGGGAAGTTTAACGTGCGCAAGTGCTGGATTCTGCCCCTGGGAGGGGCAGCCCTGGATGCACTGACAGACTGGGGAATGAGAGGCTGGAGAGCAGCCACTGCTGTGGAAAAGGATCTGGGGGTCCTGGTGGATGACAAGTTGGATCTGAGTCACCAGAGTGTCCTGGCAGCCCAAAGGGCCACCGTGTCCTGGGGGCATCAGGCCCAGCATCACCGGCAGGCCAGGGAGGGGATTGTCCAACCCTGCTCTGACCTGGGGTGGCCTCACCTCAAGTCCTGGGGTTGGAGAGTGTCCAAAGGAGAAACACAGGGATGGGGAAAGGTTTGGGGAGCAGTTGAGGGCACTTGGTTGGTTCAGCTGGAGCAGAGGAGACTGAGGGGAGACTCCTCGGGGGCTGCAGCTCCTGCCGAGGGGAGGCGGAGGGGCAGGGACTGAGCTCTGCTCTGGGACCAGGGACAGGACCCAGGGAAGGGCTGGAGCTGTGCCAGGGGGGTTGGGATGGATCTCAGGGAAAGGTTCTTCCCCCACAGGGTGCTGGGGCACTGCCCAGGCTCCCCAGGGCAGTGGGCACGGCCCCAAGGCTGCCAGAGCTCCAGGAGGGTTTGGACAACGCTCTGAGGGACAGGGTGGGATTGTTGAGGTATCCTGGGCAGGACCAGGGGTTGGGTTGGATAGTCCTCCTGGGTCACTTCCATCCCAGGACATTCCATGATTCTAAGTGTTTCCCTGGTCCTGTGTTCAGCTCCAGGGGTTTGCTGTCTTTGTTTTTGTGAAGGAACGAGACCTGATGCCCAACTCCCTCTCATCTGAACAAAACACAGCTCCATGGGCAAGACAGAAACTGTGGCACACTTTGGTCCAGGACACCCTGTAACCCCTCAGTGGACTATAAGACAACGTTTGCATGTCACAGAACCCCTCAAAAGCTTTGCATTCAGAAAAGCACCGTATTGGGAACAATCTCTGGAGGATCCTGTTAGTCTCCCCTATCCACAACTACCTGGGAAATCAGAGTTTTCAACGCTCTGCAAAAGTATTTATGTTTTCTACTTGACTGCAGAGGTTTGAGGGCAAGCAAAGCTTTCTATTAGAGCTCCTTGGACCTGCCAACCACAGTGCAGGCAAACCACAGAAGTGCTTTTCAATATCAAAAATCCCCCCCAACAGAAAGAACAGTTTTACTAAAAAGAGCACAAACTGGGAACAGAAAGGCAAATTACAGGTTTGTCTGGTAACAACTAGCATTTATTCACCCTTCAGCAAGATCTTTATCACCTACTTGTTTTTTTAATTAAACAGACCAATGAGAAAGGTAAGAAACAGCGGAAGTTTCTTGCCTGTTGTTTGTTTGCTGAGCAGTGTTCCCATTTCTGACACACACTTCAGGCCTGTATCTCTTGCTACAATCACACTATATTACTATATAATTTCTCATGCTTTAAGTAACCACTGAAGATTGTCTTAGTTGTGGAAGGAAGGGAGGAGTAGAAGTGCATAAGCACATGAGGCTCATTTGCTTTAAAAAAACCCCTGCTTTGTTTCCTCCTCAGTCTATTTTATCATAACAACATTTGCTTTTGGTAGAGCTGAACCTCACAAATATTGTGAGGGGAAGGGACACATTGAAACAGTTTTTAACAGACTGATTAAAGGCTGAGTGCACACAAAAAACAAATCAATAAAGCTAAATGTTCAGCAAATTCCTCCATTTGTACAAAAGAGGGAACGAGGAGACACAAATACAAAAAACCCTCAAGGAGGTGAGTCAGTCCTCACCTTTACTGCTACTATTCCACTGCATCTGCTAAGAATAATCATGTTTCAAACAAGGAATAAAAAGAAACCACATATAAGAGGTAATACAGGTATATTTAGTATTTGACTCATTCAACTTCATCTAGTCCCTTTAAACACTAAAATATTTTATGTGGACTTTTTTTTTTAAAGATGGCCACTTAGCATATTTTCCTTGAAAACCAAATAAAGAAAAATAACATAATTCACAATAAGATTCCCTTCAGTTTTTCTATTTCTGCTTTTATTCATGTCTGTCCTAGTGGTTGATATTTGCCAGTATAACATATTATTATGTGGGGTTTTTTAATTACTGAAGACTCTCTAGTAGCTCAATAGTGGTAAATACTCACAGAAAGCAAGTATGGAACAAACTGCCTCAGGAGTTTTTCCACAATCCTAGAGCATTTCCTGACAGATTTGCATCAATCCTCACCTACACAGAACTTCATCATTTGATTTCAGGGTTCTAGTGTGCACCATCATCTCTTAAGCAATAAAATCAGAGGAATAGGAACAAACAATGCTCTGTCTACTGTGTGAAATAATAACTTTCAAACCTTGGATCAATCTGTGGGTTAAGTAAGGACATTTTCAGCATACTTTGGTAATAGAAAGAACTTTTCACCTGATGCAAGGAGTTTGTTTTAGAATAACTGGTTTGCAAACCCAGCCAGATCTGCAATGCCTGCTACAAACAGGATGCAGGTTGCACACTCTGCTCCAAAATGCACCAGCAGAAAGGCAGATAATCCACACACCCAGAGAGACACCCATGGATCTGCTCCCTCTGTACTTCCTAACACTGTCAGTGGATATCAAGGATATGAGATGTGGACTCAAGTTCAGTGTAAAATCCTGTGCCTATTCATAAGCAGAACCCAGTTTTTGTTGTTTTGTTGGGTTTTTTTCGAGCCAACTGAATGTTCCCTCCCAGTATCAACCGAGCTCTACAACTGTTGTTAAAAGGAGACTCGAAACTAAGAGTTCTAAGTGGCTTCAGTTCTTTAAACAGTTTCACTGGTAGCTGAATATTTTGAAAACAACTCCAGGGAGGGCAAAAAAAAAAATAGTAGAAGTAGAAGCTCCATTAAGAGAGATCTTATTTTCAATTCAGGAGATTTATACACCTCCCAGAATTTCCATACATAATGGACTTGATGCAGGAACAAGCCATATATTCAGAAAGTGTTTTATGTTTGTTTTTAATATGTGAATGCAAGAATGATCACACCTGGACAGACAGATCAGGACAGGCCTGTCTGGCCTTGTACTCTGTGTCAGGAACTAGTGGCAGATGCCTCAAGAAGAACAAGGTAAAGATGCAGCCCTAAGTCAGACTGCCTTGCAGACACTCAGCTGCACAGGAGCCAGAGAGAGTATTTTGGCTTTTGGGACACCCTGTTGCCCCTGTTTCTTTCAAGAATTATCTAGGGGTTTTTAAAAGCCCATTTAAAATTTTTTGCATTCACCATATTCTCTGGTAAACACAGAAATAAACCTTGAATTTAGATTATTGTATAAAAGTAAACCTCTTTATTTTGAAGGTGCCATTTACTAATCTCATGTGTTGCCTATTTAGAATAGATAGAAACTTTTTTTTCCACTATTTTTCCTTGCCACAAGTGATTTTACAGATCTGTCACACCACTCCCTCATCATCTGTTTTCCAGTCTGAAGAGTTCCAGTCTGGTTTAATGACAATTTTGCCAATTTGCTGATAATCTCACACCTTCCTCTGTTGTTGAAATATAAGAGAATGAGACAGAAGACTCTCAACTTGTTCTTACATCCATTAATATACTGAAAATTAGGGGGACTGGCTGTTAAAAGAAGAAAACCTCCTTACCACTGGGTGGCTTGGGCCGTGGAGGGACATTTTTCTTGGGTGGTAACGCTGGTGTGTCTGATTTGCTTTTGAAAGGGTCATCTGAAAATCCCACCCCTCCAAAAGAGGAGGCAAAGGGGTCAGGAGCTGCTGACTACAGGAGAAAAAAAAGCAAAGAGAAAGGATGTGAGCACACTGGCAAACCTGTGGTTTCATGAAGCTGAAAGTTAACTCAAGTAAAAGCATTCATTTCAAAAATGTCCAGAATTATCAGTGGTGTAAAAGGCCAGTGACAGAGGTGCTAAGATTTCATTAATGTTCAAAATAACTTATGTTCTCATCACATAATTACTTTTAGAACCTTTAGTCCCAGCAAAAAGCTGATGAAAGAAATAAAAGGAAGTAAAACTCTACTTTTTTTTACTATTTGGCAGTGAACAGTCACACCACAGTCTAACCTCCACTCTGATAAACAGAATCATGGAAGAACCTGGAAAAACACCACAGAATGGGGAGCTTTATTCCAAGTTTTTCTGAAGTTACACACAGCTGTAGCAAAAGCTCAGGGAAAATCCCCAAAGCATGTTTTTAATGCTTCCTATATTCAGTTGGCTTTTCTGAAGGACTCTCCTATTGGATAAGAAGGGCACAAAAACGATGCCATGCAGGGAAATTTCTCATTGGGAAATGAAGAAAGAGGGATTTGGGGAGCAAAGGTAAAAATTGCAGTCAAACCTTGGCTAAAATTTCTACCTCAAGCCAGACACATCAATATTGGTAAAGGCTGTTGCCACCTAGTGGAGAGTTAAAACCCTCCCCAAAACAGTATAAAAAGCTAGAAAAAACACTATGAAATGTAATTAGTCCAGGTGATATGATAATCTATTTTATTTTTAACATTTACATAACTCTACAATTTCCAAGCATTATTGTGGAACTAACAGAAGGAGCTGGGCACTGCTGGAAACTGTAAATCCCAAACTCCACCTCAGGAAGGTAACAGCAATTTCTAATTATCCATTTTTTTTTTGTTTCAGGTGAGTCCTGAACCTTTCTCTTCATCTGCTATTTAAAATGAACAGAAACTGCACACTTAAAACATGGGAAAGGTTGACTGACTGCTAAGAGTGGAGTGAGTTTACACTAAGGTTAGTTTTACATATATTTAGTGTGTTTGGTTAATGGTTGGACTTGATGATCTTAGAGATCTTTTCCAACCTTAGTGATTCTATGGTAAGTTTAGGAACAAGTCAGGATACTTTAATTCTATGAAGTAACCAAGAAGCAGATTCCAGGACTTAGAGGAAGTATATGGAATAGATGGATACTCTTCTTACCAGTTAACACTACAAGTTAATTTCTTTTTTTTATTTTTTTTTATTTTAATTTTTAATTTCTTTTGCTCATCTGCTGTATGAAAATGTTTGTGAAAAGTTGATTTATCCCTACTGAGTCTGCCAGTCTTGGTTTAAGACTTTGCCATATCTGATTTGGATGGAAAATGTTTTGTTGAGTAACTGGTGAGGCTGATTGGAAAAAAAAGGAACAGAACTGGGTTGTCAGCTGAAAAGTTACAACCATATCACACACTTCAAATAAATATCTGTACATACATTTTTAAAAGGACAGTTGCTTTCCTGGTAACCTTTACCTTTGACATCTGACTGAAGTCTGCAAATCCCTCCCCACTACTGAAAGCACCACTTCCAAATGGATCCAGTGTTCCAAATGGATCTGAAACAGATACAGGGAGAAAGAAGTCATTTGGAACAATACCTAAGAATGACAAAGAATTGGTGCTGCCAATGAAGTACAAAACTGGGCAGGTGACTAAAACACACCTGTATGTTGACCTGCCATGAGATGTTACAAGAGAATTCCATAAGACAATAGGTTTTGTACTGGTTGTTTGGAGGGGAAAAAAAAGAAAAGAAGAAAAAACTGAAATATATGGTGTCACAAAGACTTAGTCTTATAATCCATAGCAGGACCATGATGCTTTTTGCCAACAGTTCACAAGACTCTCTATTTTCAACTCCTATATTTGGTTCTTCTTTCATAAAAAGATACCTCCTTATTCATCTGCATGAGAAAATGTTTTCTTCTTACCTGGACCTTTTGAAGAGATACTGGAAGACGTAAAAGGATCAGTGCTTTCAAAAGGGTCAGGCTAAATAAGAACAGATATACATAGTTATTGTTCTGCTGTACTGTGCACTTGCCTTTTTATGCAGATAAAAAATCACAATTATTTCCAATTTCAGATCACTCTGTTGGGTGGAAGTAGAGTAGGATAAAATCAACTGATTATCTGAAATTTGGCTACTGATAGTCTTGAACAAAACACCAAGTGAAAAGGGCATCCCACTGAAATACAACCTTAATTACCTGGGCAAAATATGAAAACACATCCAGAAGTGTCCAGTCTTTAAGCAACAGCAATATTCAAGTCAGGCATTTATATTATTATTAATCCAGAGTCTGCATACTGCTTGTTTTTAAAGAGATGGTGTTTACAGTTGCTCTTCAGTTTGACAAATTGTACTTTTATCCAAGTACAATCCTATCCTGCAAGACAAACTACCCTCCCACTGAAACTGAACACTGGCCTAACTCTTGGGTGGCAACAGTCAGAGAATTGCATAAGAGGGAGGGAAAGAATAATAAAAATAAACCAAAAAATCTATCACCTCCAAACAAGCACACACATGTGCATCCAGACAGGTTCAGAACTCTGACTATATATATATTTATATATATCTATATATCTATTATCTCACTGTAACTGTGATTTAACAAGTGTGTTCTGTGCAGTCCTTCCACTGTCCTGGTTCCAATGCCTGCTGGGGGTTCTGGAATCCTTTAACCAGAGCAGTTCCTCAATTCCATTCACTGTGTGACTGCACAAACCAATGGAACGGAGGGAATGCTGGGAATTAGTGGGTGATGGTGGCTTGAAATTCCCAACAGAGAGGAAAAATATCCACCTCACTGCACCTCATTGTCATGGAACCAGAGAGAACACTGCTGATTGCCTCAACAACACATACTTACATTTTAAGAGTAAAATTAATGATATTTCACCAGTTAGGAGAAAAGTATTTTCTGTTATTTCACTCCTTTTAGCTTTCAGACAAGCCTGTCAGTAGTAAAGAAATCTATTAAGTGTAGACTTAAAAATGCCTGACCTTTGAGGGTAAAGCAGGGGGCTTTGTGAATGGATCTGAGGTAAATGGGTCGCTCTTCACTGGCTTCTTGAAGAAATCCTCGGGGGCAGAGCTCCGAAATGGGTCACTCTCCTTAAAGGGATCACCTCCAAAGGGGTCTAAAAGGAGCAAGGAAAGGTAAATAGAATATACAGAATGTAGCACCTCATGTGTCTCTAAAGAACATTCTGTATTTCCCCTCACGCTCACTGATTTTTTAGAAGCACCCAGTGATTTGGTAAATCTGATTGAAACCTCCAGAGACCTCTCCAAAGAGGATATTTGCTAAGTTTGAATTGCACATTTCTCATTAACATCCTGATCCTGAAGGCACAGACCTGTCAGGTTTTTATGTTCCCACATGCAACCCAAAAACCTGAAGCTGGGGAAACCTGGGAAAGCTTTGTGTTTGGCTACAAATTGTTTCAACCACACATGTCCTGTTCTCCAAAGGGTTCTTACCTGCTGGAGCAGGTGGCTGTTCTGCAAAAGGATCATGCTGGAATGGGTCACCTATGCAGAACAGAAAAATAACTTTATTAAAATAGTTTTATAAAATAGTTTTATATATATTGTATTATCTATATATAATATATTCAAAATATTATAAAAAT